GGGCCTGTTATTAGGCCCGGCGCACCAGGCACGTTTGATAATCCTGATGATGAGGAGGTGCTTTTTGTGATGATAATGAGCGAACTGAGCGCCCATGACAGCTTCAGCGCCCCAGCCTGCACCAGCTTACAAGTCTCATTAGCCAGGTCACCCACCAGAGACACCCCTAATCGTGACTTTGCTCTTGCAAGATGTCCTATCAAAGAGGACAGGGCTGACATAGAAGTGAGGCCACCGTAGGCCTGCAGCCTGTTGGAGTTCCCCAGGGTGGATGCCTCCCAGAACCACGATGCTGCCTTGAAGGGCGGGAGGCGGGTGGCCTGGCCCAGCTCACCTGGCCCTGAATGCACCTGCAGCCCACCTTGCCATGTTCCTTGGGCCAGGCTGGTATGTTCTCTGGCCGTAGTTTCCTCGGAGAGAGACGCTCGCCAGGCTGCTTTCAGCTCTGAAAACATCCATCCAGAGCAGCCGCAGCATTCCTGTGTGTGCTTCTTATCTGATGAACACCTCTGTTCGCCACATAAATTTTAACTTTTCCTCTTCTCATGCTGGCATCTCCTTTTGTGTGCAGGTGGGGGTCATGGGAGCCACCCCCAGCACTTTTAACCTGTTAGGTGGCATCTACTTTGTGGGCACCTTGACCAATCAAGATGTGCTGTCACAACACATCTCCCGGGTATGTGTGGACAAGGCATCACCCAACCTTTGCGTGGTCAAGGATTAGCACATAGTCTCGGGACCTGTGGACCACCAACTTCTGAGGCTGGGGGCTCCACCAGTCACAACACACTGTTCCTGATTCCTGGGACAGCCCCTCGAGTGCGTGCCACACATGCCTTTCACTCCCAGCCCCTCCTCTGCCCCTGACCTGCCAACAGTCTGGTGCCGTGGAGGCTGAGGCTCAGTGTGAGGGAGACATTTGCTCAGGGTCTGATGCTTCACACCCGCCACCCTTCCTGGCCTCACATGGAGTACTGAGGGTTAAGTGGGGCCCTCTCGGGTCTGGGGAGTGCTGAAGTTGGAGCCTCAGCTCTGGACACCTGCTGTTGCTGAGTGCAGTGTGACCTTGAGCCAGTCACCTCCCCTCTCTGCACCTCAGTTTTCGAGGACACAGGACCTGACCCAAAGTGCCCAGGAAGCATTGACCCCCAAGGCAGTCCTGGCCAATGCCCCAGTAAGAGCAGGAGCAGGGATGGAGGTGACAGTGGAGGAAAGGTGTGAGGCTGCTTCAGACCTCTCTTCCTGCAGGAAGCCCTCTGGTGCTAGGCAGCAGATTATGTCTACACACATGGAACCCAGGATCTAGGGCTGCAAGTGCCTGCCTGCAGAGGTCATCGAGTTAGCCTCATAGGGATCCAGTGGGGGCAGGCACAGGGACCCACGGGGTGCAGTGCTTGTGCATAGGAATGTCAGCTGGTAAGCCTCTCTCCCTCTGCCTGGAAATGGTCGGGCCACAGATGAGGGGTTCGTGGGACCCAAGTTCTGGTTTCAGCTGTGCCTTGGTCTCTGGGCTTCATGACCAGCCTGCCCCATCCGCACAGCCTGGTTCAAGGGAATAAACCAGGGGTGCTTAAACAGGTGAAGCAGGCGTGTGTCAGGAATAAACAGCAGGGTTGGAGAGTTAGGAGGGGCTTCGAGGAGGTGTCTGGGCTCTTCTCAGCCTGGCGGATGCCACACCTCACTAATCTGTCAGCAGCTGAGAAGGAGATGACAGTGCATGGGTTTTAATTCTTGGTGGCCATTCTAAGCCCATGGCCCGGGAACAGAGGAAGGTAGCTCTGAGCCATTGCCACCATCTGTGCCCACTTCCCATGCAGGGTGGTAGAAGCACAAATCAGTGCAAGAATGTCACGGTAACTCCTATGCGTTACTTTCCTAACCTTGAAAATGAAATTGACTTGCTGGAAGCCTCATACCGACACCCGGAGGAGCTGTTGTGGGCAGACTCGGCTCCTGCCAGCGCCTGTGACCCTCTGTCTCACACCCTCTCCAACTGCGGCCCCCAGCCGTAGATCTGTGAGAATCACAAAGCCCAAAGGTCTGGCACCCCAAAACATCATCCCACTCAGTCCACACAACAGGGAGTAGCATGCCCAAGGCCACAGCCTCTTCCCTGCTGGATGTCGCTGCAACCTGCAGCTCTCTCTGGCTCACACATACCGCTTTTTCTGGCAGAGGTGAGTGCTGGCCTTTAAAAGCTCAGAGCTTTAACTCCTCTCACTGTTTTCTTAGCCGTACTGTCTCAGCACGTTACTCAAGCAATCACAGCCTTTTCCAGGCTGGCACAGATTCTCGATCTCTTCCACGTGGTAGGTAGGTGAGTCTGTGCTCAAATGGGGTCTTACATCTTTCGTTTAATACACGCACTGTTTCCTCTCTAAAAGCCTGAGCAAGTGCGCCTCCTGCTTCTCAGGCCCGTCTAGGCAATTCTCCAATGAAATGACCCTTCACTGAGGAGAACTTGCCACAGGCTCTGTAATTAGAACATTGCCAGCCTTAAAAAATCTTGATTTAAATTTCAGTTCTTTATAGGAATTATTCTCTCTTGAAATGTAATTGCTCTTCCAACGATTTCCTTTAAGCCAAGGGTGACATCTCTAAATACGTTATTATGAGTAGATATATTGCTGAGTGCCCACACTTCATTAAGCCTGTGTTCTGCCCATTTGAAAATGGTCCGGGAGTCCAAATTGAAATACTAAGAAAGCAGCTGTCCGTGAGCTTGGGGAGCCCAGTCCGGACTGGAAGAGATGTGTTGAAGCCCTGCAGTGCCCCCTCAGGAGCAACAGAAGCCGGAAGAGGAGTCTGAGCAGAAAGACCACAACCTGTCTCCCTTTGGAGCTGGGGGTGGAGTGGGGGGATGTCTCCTGGAGGACAGGTGCTGGAGATGGTGGCAAAAGGCTAGTCAGCAGCCCCAGTTTTCTAGCTAAGGGACAAGACCCTCAGTAATTTGGACTGTGCTTTGGAAACTGCAAAGCGTCACTGGTGTGGTGAAAAAAATCCTAATAGAACCATAAGAAGCCAGGCTTGGAGCTGAGCAGGCAGGGTGAGGGCAGCCTGGACAAGGACAGGCTGATGGAGGGGTGAGTGAGGCAATGTGGCTGGAGCCCTGGGCAAGAGCTGGAAGACGTCTGCTAGGGCCAAGCACATGTTGACAAGAGGTGGTCTTGACCATCTGCAAGCTGACGCAGGCAGGCTACAAGGGCCCTGGGGCATACAGGCCATGCTTAGATTTTCCAGAAATCGACCCACTGCCCTTCCTTCAGCAGACACCTTCCTGGGTGCCTTCTCCCAAGCATGTATGAAGCTGGGCTTGGTGTGCAGAGAGACTGGACCCTGGTCTGTGGCCTTCTCAGGAGAACTGGGACAGTGGCTGAGTAATTACAGGTTAGGAAGGCATGAGTGTCCTTGGTGTAGTCAGATGAAGGAAGGAGCTCTGCCTGTGGTAGCCTGGGCAAAGGAAACACAGGCTAGACCTTGAGAGAGGGGAGGCAGAGTGTAGCAGGAAAAATAGATCGTGACACTGAGACTATTATAGGAAGTGGCACTTTTATTATGCTGGCCATCCCAGCGGGCCCGAGGGTTTAATGCTTCCAAATCAAGCGCCCCAGAACAGATGTGGGGTCTTTATACCCTTGTTTAGGTAAGGGAGGGTGTTGTGTTGAGTGATTACATATTTCCTTTGAAACTTTACAAGGTTGTACTGAGCAAAATCAGATTTTTTTTTTTTTGAGTTGGAGTCTCACTCTGTCGCCCAGGCTGG